ACCGAGCTTACTCTTAAGATCAAGCATAGACGATATGACAATTCGAATGATTTGTCAAATAGTTTCATGTTAATGAGTTATGTTAGTGAGAAATGGATCTTTTCATGATCTATGCTAAGACGCAATATAAATTGTGGATGAATGGCGTTGAAATTAGCTTTGATTGCATTATGATAGTTGAGGATTTGAGAAGATTTTAGATTGAGAAGACATATCTTTCATTTAACTTTATCAAATGACATAAAACCGCGTTCAATTTTCGAGTAATTGTAGAGCATAATATTTCACAACAATTAAACACATTTGGAGACAATCATTGGAAAATAACGGTGAAAATTCTGATTATTTCATTCTGCCCGTGATAGTGATACGAGCATTGCATGCCTTATCCCTTTTGGGAATTATTTATTCTTTACTTAAATTTAAAAAAACTGCACCGCTGTGATCTATCCAATCATTATTTGCGTTTTTAAATATAATCTCCTTTTCTCTCAAGAAATTTTGTTACATGCTAAATTTTGGTAACTGCACATTGCATAATAATTGTATAATCTTAAATTGCACAAATTTATCAACTTTTTAAACACTATTTTTGATGCATAATATAATTTTAATGTAATAAATTCTTGAATATAAAATAAATTCTAAATTATTGTGGAATAGCAATTAAAATATACAAAATATACAGGCCAATAAAATTAATATTAAAAATTATAAGATGCGATAAAATATTTAAATGGAAAGTAGATAAAAAATTATTTTTTTATGTGAACAAAATAATTACAACGAATAAGATTTGCATGTGATTTATAAACGTTTATAGATTTCCAATTTTAAGTAGCAATTCCAAATTAAAAAAGACTTTTAATTAAATTTTCAAACTAAAATATATTTGCAACGCTGGTAAATGTAGTTTTAAATTTAAAAATTTTTTTCTAAAGTCAATTTGAGAGAGACAAAAAGTATTAATAAGAAGCATAAAGAACAGCGTGCACGGAGAGGAAAGCATGTACTGGAAGTGGTGCGCGCTATAGGTATGAGAATTTTTAAAATTATTACTTACCTTTTTTTATTTTTTCCTTTTATCCTTTCCTTCTCCTTTTTTCACTTTTTCACTCTTTTTTCACTCTTTTTAAAAAAATAACAGAGAATACGTCTGTACAATTTGACAGCTTTTGAAAATGTAAACAAGTATCATAGAAACATTTATAAATTGCTAATCAATAAATTGCTAATCAATATTGCCTTGACAACCATTTAAATATGAACTGTCAAAATATATTTTTGCACATGACAACATTGAGATAACCAATCAGCGTCGCGATAAAACTGCAACAATACACTTTGATACTTTCGAGATTTCGATATATTCGACTATCGACTTCTCATGCCTTTTTTAAGAGTTGGATACACAAGCGATTGTTTAAAACAATTGAGTTTTATTTTTATGTTTACTAATATGATAGTGTTAATAATAATTTCTAAACGATATATAATTGATGTGGCAGAATGTATTGCAAACAAGAATGATTCATGCCGCGCCGCTCCTGATGGCGCGAAATGCGAACCCCGTAATTGGTTAACTTCAAATGCATTTTATTCAAAAACTATTGACCCCACAATTTTCTTGTACGGACATTTTTTACTCACGTTATCGAAATCTATCCACTTCTTCAAGGACCTGCGTTTGATCTGAAACACCCTGTATATGTATATTATATAGTTACATACGTATTATGAGAAATTACCCATTACTCGCTGTCCATTGGCATCGTATCCTACATATTCCAGTCCAAGACTCATGTCCTGAAGTTGTCCCGATTTTGTGAAATCAGAAGTTAATTTGCCAGTTGCTAGCATTACGTCTCTAAAGTTGATGGACGAATAGACTACACGTACTATATCTTGCGATGAGAATCAACTGATATATTGTTTTCCATCCAACGAAAAGAATCTAAATCACCACAAACCTGTAGAAAAATATTCGTAAAATAAATAAATGTATTCGTTAGATAAAGCGCGAGACACTTTTTAGAAAAATTTTATATATAATATATCACAACAGTATTTAAAACTAAATAATTCACAATATTAGTGTATTAATAGCATTGATAGATTATTTAAATTTCTGTAAACAGCTTTATATACCATTTGGCATACGTAAGCAGTAGGTACGGATTCGACTTCTGGATGCGGTATTCGCAAATGTCGATAAGATCCCCAAGTTTTATTAGGTCGCAAAACATTAACACTCATATCTTTTTCTAATTGTTGCATATAGAACGGATCCTGTAGAGAAAATTTTGGAGCATTCTTGTCTTGAATAAGCACACCTCTAATCAGTTGTCCACCTAGCTCTTCTCTCAAACAGTTAATAAAACCCAATATGCCGCATTCAAGTCTCCCTCTCCAACAATTACGATTCTGCTATTGTCATCATGTTTATTCTCGTCGTCTACAAGCTGCTTTAAGTCTTCGAGCCAATTAAAATTATTATTATTTATATAGACAACAATTGTATTTTTTATCGTAACTTTTTTCTTTAAAAGTGTAATTACTTCTTTATTCATACGTTTTTCCAGAATAACACTTAATGCATATTTACGCAAATATTTGTCGTAGTTATTTATATTGCATTTTTCGCGTGTTAAGAGATAACCGCCTTCCCTCAAAAGAGGCAAAAGTTTTTCTAATGAATTCTGATGTTTCGTCAAAAGATTGAATCCTGTAGCTATCAAAGCTTTGTCGCCAATAAATGGTTTGTTTAAATCTACGACCGAAACATTTGAAGACAGCTCTGCTGGATTGAAACGATTCGGCGATGTTAGTATAGCAATATTTGCTTTTATTAAAGGAATATCAGCAAAAGCTTCAATCAGTAACGTCGATGATAGATCTTCTAACATTACATTATCTGCATCTTCCACTAGTTCAATGATTGTTGCTTTACTGATCTGATGATCCTCTAACGCGAGCTGCGTCGATATTCGAATTGTTTCATTTAACGAAATATCAGCGCGATCTTGGTGAGGTATAAATTTATACTCTTCGATAACGGGATTTCCAATTGGTTTTCGGCGAGAAATCGAGGTAACTTTCAAGCCGCGTATCTCTATTCCACCAGATTTAATTACGTCTATTTCTTTATATATACGTATTGGTATTTCTGCAATAAGGCAATTTAAAAATATTACATTTTGAAAGATAATTTTTTCGATATTTATTTAATTGGAAGTATGGTTCTTACGTTTATTTTTTTCGGATGTCACGTCCCGCAACGTTAATGCGTGAAGTGCAGGATTAATTACCAATTTTTCAATACTCGTTGGAATATATAAGTTTCTGGTATCTTTTCCAATTATATACATCTGCAGCATATTGTCCATGAATGTTACCCAATTACCTGTCCAAGTGATATGCCCTTTGCTGCCTGAGACTGATGCGCTATTCAAACCACAGAATGCATCGCTGTATTGATAACCGCATAGTCTTAATTTCTTATAAATGTCTCGAGAATTCATACATTCTTCCTCGTCAATATCCATCGATAACAGATTAATCGGCACCGTTTCTTGTTCAGCATTTGATGTAGCGTGCACTACACCTGTTACAACAGTGCTATCTCCTTCAGTGATTTCAAATTTGCCGCTTTCTACAAGAATTTTACATCGAATATTACATGTTATTACAATTATTTAAAATTTTTTTAGATGAATAAAATTTTACACATACCTTTCTGTATCACAATTGTCAAATTCACCGGGCCATCTTTTGAAAAATGAGTAGTCCGAATAAATTCTATATCTCGAAATACTATTGGAATTGATGTGTGTATTTTGTTCTTCGTCATTCCAATGGTTTCCCAAACAAGCATTAGATAACCTGTCACAGGTAGCAAATTTTTTCCGTCAATGACGTGACCGGTCATATAATTATAATCTTTGTCGTCCGTCATTATTTCTACTTGTCTTTCTCTGGATTTGATGTGCTTATGTGTTTGATATTTATATACAAACCAATCTTCAGAATGATTCCATCTGATGATATTAAAACGTTTCTTTATACAATTATGTCTTTATTTACATATACAATATTTAGATTAATT